CCCATCAAAGATTTCATTTCTTTTGAAAAATGTGTTTCATGCGCTCAGGGAAAACATCATCGGAAACTACACCTTCCAAAGCAGATAAACTCCATAAGTCAACTACTCGAGTTATTGTATATGGATTTATTTGGTCCGGTTAATGTTCTAAGCATCAATCGCAACTCATACTGCCTTGTTGTGATAGATGACTACTCTCGTTTCACTTGGGTTTTCTTTCTGTCTAACAAAGCTGGAATTGCTGACCTCATCAAAAGATTCATTGTGATGATCGAAAATCAGACTAACAATCGAATGAAAGCGTTGCATACCAATAAGGGAACAGAGTTCAAGAATGCTGTTCTTGGTCATTTTTGCGTTGAGAAAGGGATTGTGCGTCAGTTCAGTTCTGTTCGAACACCTCAACAAAACAGGGTTGCCGAACGTCAGAATCGAACTCTAAAAGATGCCGCAAGGACGATGCTATGTGATTCCAAGCTTCCTGTATTCTTTTGGGCAGAGGCGATCAACATCGCGTGTTATGTTCAGAATCGTGTGCTGATCAACAAAGCCAGAATGAAGACACCGTATGAGATTCTATTTGGACACAAGCCATCTGCCAGTCATTTCCGAGTATTTGGCTGCCCTTGCACCCTTCTCCACTTGGAATCCAATCCCAAAATTCAATGCCAAAGCCGATGACTGTTACTTTGTTGGATATTTTTCTCGAACTGCGTACAGGGTTTACAATAAGAAGACTAAACAGATTGTAGAATCCTTTGATGTTCGTTGGCTCGAGGGAAATGAGACAGATGCAAGAGTGGGTCCTGATTGGTTATTTAACTACACATCTCTTTTCAAATCATTCAATGTGTCTTCAGATAATCAAGAAGGATCTACATCCAATTCGAAGATTCCTAGTGAAGACGAAGAAGATGAAGTTGTCTACCGACCACCATTGATTTCCTCTGATCCTCCATTGGTACCCTCCACTCATTTTGAATCTTCTGAGTCTCCTCAACAACCTTCTCCTGATGCTATTGCTACTCCTTTAACTCTGATGGAAAGAGAGTTCATGAACCACGAGACTTCCGCTGTAACTTCAAATCTGATGGAACTTCTCTTTCCAGAAAATATTGTTGAAGAGTTTGTAGCAGATTCTTCAAACGAACCTTGTTCATCCTCTACGGATCATACAACAAATGATGGAGCGGTTAATATTCATAATCTTCCTGTTTCTGTCAATGATATCAGCTATCAGATCCCTACACGTATTCAGCGCGATCATCCGATAGAGAACGTCATTGGCTAGCTAGGCGACAGTGTTTAAATGAGAAGTAAAAGTGGGGATGTTAACACATGTCTCTACTCTTGCTTCATATCTCAAATAGATCCCAAATCTATCGAAATGGCTCTGAATGAGCCCATCTGGGTTGAAGCCATGCATGATGAATTAAATTAATTTGAGAAACTCGGAGTTTGGAAATTGGTGGAGCTACCAAAAGGAAAGAAATCTCTTGATACTCGTTGGGTATTTCGAAATAAACAAGACGATTCAGGTGTCATTGTGCGCAACAAGGCAAGATTGGTGGTTCGAGGGTTTTGGCAAGTTGAGGGTCTTGATTATCGGATCACTCATGTATCTGACTGCTAGTCGCCCAGACGTCATGTTTGCGGTCTGTCAATGTGCTCGCTACCAGGCTAATCCTAAACTCTCTCAGTTAATTGTTGTTAAAAGGATTTTTCGGTATCTCAAAGGGTGCCCAAAACTGGGTCTTTGGTATCGGAAAAATCCCGAATTTGATCTTTATGCTTTTGCTGACAGCAACTATAGCGGGTGTGAGCTTGATAGAAAATCGACTTCAGGAGGATGCCAATTTCTGGGAGATAAACTAGTGTCACGGCAGTACAAGAAGCTGCACACAGTCTCAACCTCAACAGCAGAAGCGAAATATGTTGCTACATCTACTTGTTGTTCTCAAGTCATTTGGATCCAACATCAGTTGTTGGACTACAGTTTGAATTTTCAAGAAACCCCTATTTTCTATGATAATGAGGCTGCGATCCAAATTGCCAAAAACCAGGTCCAACACTTAAAAACCAAGCACATCGACATCAAGATTCATTTTATTCGAGAATGTTATGAGCGTTCGCTCATTCGGATAGAACAGGTCTGCTCTGATAATAATGTAGCAAATCTGTTCACCAAACCATTTAACAAAGCTCGATTCGATGTGCTGGTTAATTTTCTAAAAATGATTCGTTTTGAGGATTAATTTTTTATGTTTTTTTTTCTAGCATAAATTTGGGCATTTTATTTTATTTTATTTTTTTATGCAGAAATTTAGGGGGAGAAAATTAGAAAATCCAAAAACATTAAAAATTTAGAAAATCCAAAAACATTAGAAAATTAGAAAATCCAAAAATATTAAAAATTTAGAAAATCCAAAAACATTAGAAAATTAGAAAATCCATAAAATTAGAAAATTAGAAATTATGCTTGAGGGAGATGTTATGGGAAGTGATATAATAATGTGATAACAGGCAACCTAAGTCTGCATAACGTACTGAAAGTTGAAGGGTCTATGCTCTAGTTTGATATGTCGGTAGGCACGAAAGATTTTAAATGGACATGACTAGGCAAAATTGAACTTAGGAAATCAAATGACTTGAAAAATCTTGACCTAGATGGTTCCGTTTAGCCTGACAAGACGATGCTTGGATAGGTTGAGCAGGGGGATATATATGAGAATCTACTCGTCACATTAATTGAACCCGTACTTGGAACCGTGGTTTAACTTTTCCTCCATGTGTGGATTCTGTCCTTAATTTCGGTATTGATGGGGCAACTGGTAAATTCTGATAAATTAGGTCTGTAGAAAATCATTTTCTTTCTTTCTGTCTGTTAGTCATATGTTACCTCCTCTACATGATTGGAAGAGATCCGACCTGGACTGTAACATATGCAAATCTATCTCACTGCATATTTTATATATATATATATATATATATATATATATATATATACATACATATGAAATTCCTCTTATCTGTTAGCCATATGTTGTCTCCTTTGCGTGACTAACCATCCGACCTGGTACACAGCATATGCACTATAAATGATAATACTTTGAATCTATTTTCTCTCCTAATGATGGTCTGCTCATCCGATGTAAGGAGTACTCTGGAAGTCCTTGATTACTGGGGCATATCTGGAAGCAGGAAACATGTTCCAGTACACTTAAAATTGAACTCATACAGATTGTCTATAGATCTCGCTGCTCAATTTAGGTGGACAACAATATCCCTGGTCATTGTCAGTTGAATGGTCCTTAAGCTATAGTATCTAGAAACTTAGGTTTAAATATAATATCTAGGAATTTAGGATCACTTTGTCTTGTCACTCATTAGTGTGTTCTAATTTTGTCACAATTTTCGTGTTTAAGTGGACAACAATACCGACAATCGACCAGACAAAGATGTGAATATGAAAGGTACTGACAAGCGGATAATGGTTGTCTAAAAAAAACTTTGATCCCCAAACCTCAACAGGTTAAAACAATTTATATAGGTTTAAATTGAATTTTTATTACTTGTCGTTAATAGTATTTCCAATTTCATCTATTTCATTTCCTATTTTTTTTATTTTTTTATTTTTTTTTAGTTTTATTAGGAATTTTTGAAATTAATCTCTTATTATTAATCCTCAAAATAATTCATTTTTGAGAAAATGGTGAGTGAAAGGGGCTTTGGCATTAATGATTAAAAGATATGAGGGAGGAAATGAAAATTTTGTGTATATATATAGTGTGTGTGCGGTGAGCTTTTCACCGTCACTGTTTATTGCCTCAACCGCACACACACATATTTCTCTCAAATTCCTTAAATATTCCATTATATTTTTGAAAAATCAAAGCCTTTACTCGGTAATTCTCATGAACACGGTTGATTTTTCGATTATTTTCACAAAATTCTTTTATAGTTTGTTGTTGAATCTTCATAAAAAATTGTTTGTCTTCAAGGGTAACCGCACACGGTGTGTGCGGCAGCACACATGAGTGTGCGGATGACCGTATGCGGCCACATTATATTATGAATGAGTGTGTGCGGCTGACCTTGTACATCTGCACACGTGCGTGTCCGTCTGTGTGTAACTTCGTGTGCGGTTACATCATTCTCATAGTTTTGCCCTAATAATCTTGTGTGTTGCCTTTCAGATTAAAATGGGAGACATGGAGTTCGCTAAAGTCCACAATTCTGCATTTTTTCTTGAAGACCCTCCTGCAGCCCACAATGACTTGAAATTCATTGTGGATGGTTTGAAGAAATCATGCTTGGTTCAATGCCTAACTACAAATCCTGCCATCTACCAAAGTTTGATTAAGGATTTCTGGAGAAATGCTGTTGTAAAGAAGAATGATCGAGGTGAAAAATTTGTGGAAGCAACAATCGAAAACAAGAAAATTCAAGTAACAGAAAGCATCATCAGAGAATCTCTCCAAATTGAGGACAGACCTGAGTATCCCATGGAAATTGACGTTCATCAAATTGAGGAAATCTTAGAGCATATGGGATACGAAGGAACTTTTCCTCCTACAATCAAGAAGCTGCTTCCTCCATGCTGGAAGCTTTTGGCTCATGTGTTCGTAAGTTGCATTTCTGGCTGGAGATCAGGAGCAAACGAGATTTCTCTGGCCAACATTGGTGCCATTGCAGCATTGGCAGCAGGTTTTGAATTCAATTTCTCAAAATTTATAATGAATGAAATGATACTAAATCTTGAAGGGAGCAAAAGAGACAAATTTTGTATGTATCCAAGATTTTTACAAATCATCCTTAATGTAACTCACCCCAAGCTGCAGACAGGAAATGATACTCTGGATTTCAAATCCATTGGTCCAAGTGGCTTTGGACTAATGAAACAAAAGAGGGGTGGGAAGTTCGTATTTGAAGGAAAATTTCCATTAATAAAATTTGGAATTTTTAAAGAGAATGTTAGAGAAGAATCAGAAGAACAATCCATGCAAGTGGAAAATGAAGATATTCCTCACTCTCCCTCCGAGCCTGAAGTGGAGGAGATTCATCATTCTCCCATAGCTTATGTAGCTGATGAGCATGATAATCAGAAAGCAAATGATTCAAAATCTTCTCGAGAGAATGATGATGATGATCTTTATGAAGATGTGGAGTTTTTGAAAGAAATCGACTTTACAGGAATCAATGACGACATTCCAACAAACATAGAGTTTGATTTCGGTGATGAAGATTTTGATCCTTTTCTTGATATTCCCGGCAGCCGTGTAAATAAAGTCAATGAAGTTGCTTCTTTAGCAACCAAGACTAGAGATAAAGGAAATTTTCTCAAAATTCTGCTCTCTACCTCAAAGCCCTTGGAGATCACAACAAGCCAAGGAGATGTGACATCAGAGATTCCTCCCTCTGTGTCACCTGTCTCAACATCAGCTCCAGTCATTTCTGACTTAACTGAACCTCAGACTTCGATAAGAACAAGCCAATCTCTTGAAAGTCTGGAGGTACTCTCTGTAACATGTGCTCCTCAAGTTATTTCAACAATCACTGCAACCTCTGCTCACTCTCCTCCAAAGCAGACTGATGAAGGTCCAAGTACCATGTTCGAGACTGGTGGATCCTCTTCCATTCCAGAATATTCTCCAACTCGACCTTCTCTAGATGAAGCTTCTATCAGATTAGTAAAACATCTGGCTCAATCTAGTCTAACCTCTTCACGAGGGAAAGGAATATCATTTAACGAGGGCCAGACAGATGATGACAAATCCTCTTCGTCTGATCTCCGAGAGGAAATTGGAATTCTCCGCCAACAACTCATTGAAAAGTCAATTCAAATGGATCAGCTTTCTGCACATATTTTTGAGCTCAGGGCAAAGGATGAAGAAAAGACCAAACAAATCAATGATCTACAAACGAGTCTTGGATCTGTTCTAGCTAATTATTTCAATCTCAAGAATGTATTGTATGAGGCTTTTGGTGAAAAAGTCAAAGCCTTCTTCCAACAGCCTCATGGAGTAGTTGATCCTCCTTCTGTTCAATCACCTCCTGCAACTGAAGATCTACCTGTCAACCCACCTGCTCCAAGAACAACTACAATTGTCAACAGGTTAGAAAAAGAACCAGAAGGAAGCAGAGCAAGAATCACAATCAAACAGGGCAAAAGAATCATAACTGCAAATCAAAGCAAAGGCCTTTTATTCATGAAAAATTCTAATGAAAATCGCAAAACAGGAGACCCTGTCTTGACAGTAACGGATTTGAAGAAAAGAAAGTTTGGTGATGAGTATGGCGACAGGACAGGTATCCGAATGTGGGCCTTTGATCCAGTGACGAATTTGTGGGTTGTAAAGTGAAAATCAGGAGCATCTGAATGTTACAAAAGCACCCATGATTTCAACTCTTGGACCAAAACTGATCTAGCTGAATTATCCAGGGCCCCTTTCCATAACCCCTCTAAAGATCCTAATGCTTCAAATTTCAAAAGATTTCTGGACATATAGGTCAAAGAGAAATTTCCATCAATGAAGACTGCAAAACCCCTATATAGAAAAGACAAAGATGTTCTTCATACAGAAACAGGAGAACCCATGAAGATTATCCTCTCGCCTGCAACTAAGAAATAAAAGGAAATTCCTATTCCTCAACATTTTCATGAGGGATATTTGGATGACATGGAATTTTGGGCATGTGATGACGAAACTGCTACTGCAGCCATCAAATTCAAGAATCGAGAACATGTTCTGAGATTGATTAGTGCTAAACATCATCTCTGTTTAAGAGAAAGGGATATATGAACTTTGGCCCGTCATCAAATCATTTGCAGAAAAGATGTCATGGAAGCTGCTGCTAAAGAATTCACTGCAATGGTGGCCACGATCATAAATGGAAGATTGTGGATGGGATCGATGGGGAGATCAGATCTGAGGTTGTTTGAGAAGCCTGCTGAGGAGCCAAAGGAGTGAAGACAAGAGTATTCTAGTCTCAAACCCAAGGGGGAGACTGAAAGAACATAATTTTGTGGTTTGAGCTAGGCATCATTTTGTATATGTGATTGTGTGTAATCTTGTAATGTGTGCTGCCACACATGTGTGTGCGGCCGCACACAGTATGTACGGCTGCACACATGTGTACGACTGCACACTCTTGTGATGGTAGGAGGAGTACTATTTAAAGCAACTGAGTTGTGTCAGTTTGAACTTGTTGCTTGGTGTCAGAACTCTACTGCAGCAGTACTTCTCTCAAGATGTACTTGACATTTACAGGCAATAGATGTGTGCATGCTTGATTTTAGTTCTTCTTCTTCTACATCTCTCCTTTATTGCAATAAACTTCATCGATTACTAAATTGGATCATTATATTTGGGACTTACAACATAATAAGGTGCTATAGCATTGAACGTTTTCAGGATCTAACTATACCAATGAATCACTTCTACATTAGTGATAGTTATATTGGGTATACATGATCATAGTAATGTGGATGCTCGTGGCTTGCACTCATGCAGGGGTCACGTAAAGTTCCTAGAATCTCTTGACAAGGGAGCGTCTAGCATAGGATCTAGCCATCACATTATGCCTTAACCGTCAAATAAGGCACAATAGTACTTAAAGTAGTCACTTATTACAAATACTACAGTACTTACACTATCATCATGACAATTACAGAAGGATATAAAATTCCAGTTACAATATTATTAATACCTTTACCATGTGTCTTATTCACGGCATCGATATGGTAAATTAGATATAATTAATAATAGTCGTACAATCGAGTCTTGGTAGAAGACTACTTTCAAAACAGTCGAGTCTTGGTAAAAGACTACTTTCAAAAAGTAGAGTCTTGGTAGAAGACTACTTTCAAAACAGTCGAGTATTGGTAGAAGGCTACTTTTAAAAGTTTAGGACCATAATGCTAACGTTATGATTCCTTAATGTATACACTATAGGATACATATATGCTAAGTAGATCCAGACAGCTAATAGGATGTGTGCTCTTCGTTGTATGTCCTGTTCCTGTTGGATGTGGGCTTGCACCGAGGCCACCCAATCAATTATCTACTCGAATCTATAGATATTTATACTTAGTATACATTAAGTCATCATATGGGTACCAGGTATGGATCAGGTCATAGGACACAGAGTCAATGCACAGTTATTCTAGTACAAAACTTACTTTTCAAAGTTAGTACTTTTGGTATACAAAACTAGCGATTTCCCAGTTAAGGGCTTAATCCATTTTATTAAGCCAGTACAGTTTTAAAGACTATAAGTGAGTTAACTCTATAATACCTTAGTTTATACACCATGTTTATATATAAGACTAATATCCAATAGATAGTTAAATGTGTGTCTTCCCCTGATGTCCTGTTCCCATTGGATATGGGCATAGGGCAGATTCCCCCAATTAACTATCTACCCGATATCAAATTATATATAGAGTATAAACAAAGCTATTATAAAAGTAATCACAGTAGTTAATGTTTTACTATAAGAAATATAGGTTTTCTTAAAAGAACTCTCCATTAGATATAAAGGAATCATTACAAATAACTCCATGAGTAACAAGTGAATACACCAAGGTTATATATGACAACGATCTAACAACCAATGGAATGTGTGCGATCCGCCTTACTTATTGTACCCCGTTGGGTGTGAGTTGAGGGCGGATGCGCACAATAGATTGTTTATTTACTCCAAGTATATATAAATTTAACCACTTAGTATGCATAGAATGGCTTGTAGTGACATTTTACTTAACGTCCATTAAAGTAGGAAATATAGGATTTTCTAGAGGAACAGGCGAACTTTTCAAAATAGAACTTACAACTTACATCACTTTTACATATACATTTTTCCACATCTTACAGCTTACATCACTTTTACATATACATTTTTCCACATCTTACAGCTTACATCACTTTACATATACATTTTTCAACAACACTTTACAGATTACTCATATCACTAAAATCTTATGAACTCACCAGCTTAATTGCTGATCAATTCTTTCAAATAACTTGTATTCTCAGGAGACTATTAGACAGGTGCTCGTGTTGGGAATTTAGAAGATGGAGCATTCAGCTTCAAGTCTTGTGTTGTTATTTGTTTATGACTTCTATGTTTTGTGACCACACACATTGTAAACACTTTCTTTCTAAATGAAATGGTTGTTCATTACTTGCTTACCATATACATATCTTGTGAACACACACATTGTAAACACTTTCTTTCTAAATGAAATGGTTGTTCATTACTTGCTTACCATATACATATCTCGTGATACTTGACATGACATCATCCACCCCCGAACGTTTCCGCCGTTCCGGTTTTAGGGGTGTGACAACAACTACCGTCCGACCACAACATCACCTTCTACCCTCACTTTTATTCTCCCATTTCCTCTTTCTTCCTCGTACCCCTCGAACACCACAACACCTACGTGTCGCTCTACCTTCAAAGCATCCCTCTGATTTTCCTGTTTCCCTTCTCTCTCCCATATGTGTTGCACACCACACAGCAGGAACATCATCGAACCCTAACCATCACGCCATCGTCCTTCGACAACCTCCGACTTGCAATTCAGGTATGTTTTTTTTGAAGTTTGATTTTTTCTATCTTGTTATTCTAGTTTGTTAGTGAGGTTTTAGATGAAATGGAAACACGTAGGTAGGTAGGAGGTTTAGGCGGTGGAGGGATCTAGAATAAAAAATAAATTGGAAGACATGGATCGGAGAATATCGACAATGACTTGGAGCAAGGCCAAGGCGGTGGAATCTGTGACATCCCCAAAATCACGGCCAGAAAAGACCGATTTTTTTGTTTATGCTTTATAAAAATCAGAGTACTTCATTTTATAAAAAGGTTGCGGAATTTGTTCCCAGAAAAACATGGTAAATACGTTATTAAAACATTTTCGAAGAAACGTATTTATTTCATTTTAAAATGTTTGGGATGTCATCGTTAATACCGAAACATAAGCATAAACAGAACTTACAATGATTTACACTAGTGATCTACATCTCTTTTAAATCTCTCAGTGTAATGTCACTTCACTTCGTCACCTGTGATATACATAAACTGAGTGGGTCAGGTTGGGAAACCTGGTGAGTACATAGGGTTTTCAACCCACAATAATATAATTACTATGTTCAATCAAACAATCAACCCAATTACCCATCCCCATTATCTTCTTTACTCTTTAAGGATTTAACCTAAGAGTCATCTATCCTACATTCGTTTATTCCGAAGTCCCTTACCTCCAGGTTATAGGACTGACACTAAATCCATAGCTGCCAATGTTCGTTCATAAAGCACTAATTCCATAGCTGCTATGGTCTATTCATCAGGTACTAAATCCATAGCTACCAGTCTTTATCTAATAGGTACTAAGTCCATAGCTACCAATGTTCAACAGGTACTAAGTCCATAGCTACCAATTCCCAACAGGTACTAAATCCATAGCTACCCACGTTTAACAGGTACTAAGTCCATAGCTACCGGTGTTTGTCCCATAGGCACTAAGTCTATAGCTGCCAATGTATCATCTTCTATCTCTCATCATTCATCTACCCATCTCATACCCAACATATTCGTATATATAAAATACTTATACAGCTTAAATTCTTTAAAACATGTATAAAACGTTCATCCAGCATAGAAAGCAAGTATTCAGATAATATGCACACATAGCACGTAGTTTATATAAAATACTTCATATCTATGTGTAAGATGAAAGGGACTATGCACTCACCTGAGAAGGTGGTGACTCGGTACTCGGACAGCGCTTCGTTTACTTTAAAATAATTTCCTTTGATGAAACCTAATATTATCACTACTAGATTTTAGTCTAATATTACCGTCACTAATTATTAGTCTTATTATTATTATTATATAAGCGTTTAAACAATACTTTCCAACTACTATGTACAGACAGGGGCCAGACATAAAACACCGGAGGGCAGGACCATTTTGGCGTATAGCACTTCTGAAATCCAACAACCCTATGCGGCCCTTTAAACCAGATTCCCCGTACCGCGAGTAGTTAAAAGATATTATAACGACACTTATATAAGTCATAATAATAGCTCAAATATTTATTATAAATTTATAATAACAATACTATTTTTAAATATAAACTATATTTAAAATAGGGTAAGCATAACTTACTTTCAAGGGGATTTTAGCTAGAAGTCGGGCTCTGCAGGGGCAGAACTTCGTCGCTGAATCTTTCTAAGAAAGATTCGTGCAGCGCTTCAGCGCTCACCTTACTATACTAAACTGCAGAAAGAGAAGTCGAATCACGAGGGACCGAAATGCTCGGGGGATAAGGAGAGAAAGACTCTTGAATCAAAAGAATGGTGCAAGAAATATGAGAGCCCAAGGCTCTTATTTATACTAATTGAATTTTCAAAAACTACCCTCCATAATTACTTAATGACCTTTTAGTTATATAAACAACTAAACACCCCTCTATAATACTATTTTAAATGGATTTAATGATATTTGTACTAAACTAATGTCGAAAGAACTCAACATTAGTCTTATAATGACCGCATCGTCGATACCTTTCTAATGATATATACATATGTATATATATGTGTACGTATACATGATTTATACTTTATTTTAATACGTAAATATGCTATTATAATTTGTAACTCGTTCATATGAACTCCGTTTTTGACATTCTTTATATCCACGCGTAGGTGGAGACGTACTCTACAACTTTCGTTTAGACTCCGTCGGCTAATTTTGACTTTATTTTTAAAGTTATATTTTTAACAGGCCGGGACAGGATTGGTCCGTTAAAATCTCATAACTTCTTTATCCGATGTCCATTTTCGTCTGTCTTTTTATCGTTACGCTACTAATAACGAGATCTTTGATTCTTGTTTAGGTTGTGTTGGCTAAAAATCAATCGATCTAAAATTCGAATTTCGGGCTGTACACCGCTAATCCGAAA